CTGGCTGATGAGAAGCAGTTACTATTGCTCAGAGTTGGTTGAATGCAGTGAGGAATGTTGATATTACAAAATAGGCCACCAGACAATTTCTCATGCAAAACATGATGAGAATACATTAACCAGTGCTGGCTGACGTCAATGTCCACATTCATTTGGTCCTACCAGAAGGAGATGAGAGTTTTTCAGACAAAAGGCAAAACTGGTTTTGGATGCTATGTGACAGACACCAGTTCCTTAATGTTGGGTCATGTTCTGCCAATCATTTAGGGAAGCTGAATGAATTTCTTTATAGCTATTGTTATGGGCAAGAAAAATATGGTATCTAGATGGAAATAGTGCTAGGGATAATTACTTTGCTTCATAAAACAACAGATAATGCTATGTAGAGGATTTACTATATAAATACTTATAATAAATTGGTTGAGTAATCTGAGTTTATCTAGATGTTAATGGCAAGATTAATACTAGACCAGCAATCAGGAAGTAAACAATATCCCAATCAAGGAACTACCGACTCAGACAAATAAGCTAACCATAAATAACAGCCTAATCAAGGAACCACCAAGAACACTCCCATGAACATTGACAAGGCAAGCCAATAATATATAAAAAGAGAGCAAACCCTAATCCTTTCTTGTACTGATGGCATTACCTAGTTTGGTAATGAAATGTCTACAAGAAAACAACCAAGCTCAGCGAAGCCCAGGGATCCCACAGTTCAACCCTGAGTTGCAAATATTCTGTTCTGTGATGTTCTTCTTTTGCTTAATTTAGTTTGACCAATTCTACTGATATTTGCTTGAGCAAAATTCAGCAAAATCAGAAAGCTAAGCAGGGTATCCTATTCATAGAATTTTACCATCTTTCAAACCAATATCAGTAGAATTGTTCTCATTTAACATTCAATACAGGATAGTTAGGAACTGAGGTGGTGGAACGGATCTACAAAGATTAAGAGGGAGGGGCAAACATGTGCAGCCCATAGTTTTTGCATATGAGGTGTCTTATTGAACAGATATTGCATGAAAAAATACATGTTAAAAGATATTATAGAAAAACAGAACCGGCTGAATGATCACCTATATAGAGTTGTAATGAATTAAAGAGGGAAAGTAGTTTATTTGCATCTAACTTATTTCTGTTTCATTCCTCAGCTTTAGAAACAGAACTACAGGAGAGTAACAGTGCCTTCATCCTCAAGTCAGCCAAGCTGGAAGGCCTGGAAAAAAAAGTGGAATCAATTCGTGATCATATCAGTCAACGAGTTGCATATTATTCCAGTTGCACAGATTAAAACAGTTTCTTCTCCTTTCCTGATGAATCCTTTCCTCTTCCTAATTTATCAAGATTGCTTTCTTCATATGTGCAAAAAAACCCCAAACATTTCCATCTTTTATTTTAAAAAGCTAGCTTTGAAATATTGCTATTGCTATAGGTTAAGCTTTAGGGGGGGAAAACCCAGAAATGCGTGTACTAATTTATTTGCTCTAGCATTCCAAGACACCTTTATATTTAAAATTAATCTCTTGAATTCAAATGTTGCTGATAGCAACATTTTTTTTAAAAAAAAAATTGGAAGATGTACTTTTGCATGAGTTCTATCCAAGCAGAATCTGGATTTAAGCAAGATTAAGAAAGCAATATAAATGAACAATGGTGTCTGTTTCTTAGATTTCATAGCCCATTATAAGACTTTTTTATCTTTTTATCCACCACTAATTCTTTTTACAAATACAAAACAGCTTTTTGCAGATAAACCACAGTTCATTTAGTGACCGTTCAAACTTACAATGGCACAAAAACAATGATTTATGACCGTTTTTCACAGTTACGACCGTTGCAGCAGTCCCATGGTCACGTGATCAAAATTTAAATACTTGGCAACTGGTTCATGTTTATGACCATTGCAGTGATCTGGTATCATGTCATCTCCTTGTGGGACCTTCTGAAATGCAAAGTCAATGGGGAAGCCAGATTTACTTAACAACCGGGTTACTAAATGTACTAACTGCAGTGATTCACTTAACATCTGGGGCAAGAAAGGTCATAAAATGGACAAAACTTGCTTAACAAATGACTCACTTAACAACAGAAATTCTGGGCTCCATTGTGTAAGTTGGGGAACTACTTGTACGGCCAGAAACAAATCTGAGACTGAGAGATTGGTGATCTACATTAGTCCATCAATAAATAACTGTCAGGCATTTAAGAACCGACAAACTTTATTGAACAATGTATATTACATGTGCAATTCCAGAACTGACAAGCAAAAATTAATGAATGAAGTAGAGACTGTGCCCCCTTCCTTCCTGTGGAATCAACTCATGCAAACAGTGCTGGAAGAAATAGCAGTGCCAACAAGCATTCTTAGCAAATTGCTTCCGTATCATGAATTAAAGGGCCACAAGCAAGCCAGCATGGGATATTTTCTGCTTCAACCAACTGGTCTAATGGACTCAACACAAAAACAACACTGTACCCCTTGCAACTGCTCTTTAGTCTACTGAACAAGCACAGATGTACAAACATGAATCCCCACCTTCCCGATAAAGAGTTTGATCATGTTTACCCACTGATTACAGAACCTTTCTTTTAAGAATTGTTTCCCAGTTTATATGAAACAACCCTCTAATATTTCAAGATAGTTGAACCATATGAACTCTTCAGTTCTATGGATGTGCTTTATAGAAAGTATCTGCTGTGGGCATCTAGGAACACAGTCCTCCATGGCATTGTTCAAGACAGGCCTTCCCTTTCTGCTTGGTTGATATTTGATGGTCAGTTTTCAATAGGAATATCAAGCAGCCCTTCTGAAAAGAGAGGAGAAAAATAGAAATCATGTGATCTGCATTTTATTGGAAAAAAAGTTTTCCAGGAAATCTTGGTTTCTTTTGAAAAAAAAAAGATTTGTTGAGATTTATTGTTCTTACCTAGTTGTGGTGAAGAAAGTAACTTGGCAAAAACTACTATATAGTTTTATGCACAATATAATAATTTCCAACCGAAAATTGTTTTCTGTCTGTTTTCATTTTCTTATAAAAACTAAATTAATTATAAGAATTGCTATACTTATTTATACTGTTATTAAAATGATAACTATAAAGTCTCATAAAATCAGTTTTTTTAACCTGTATTTATTTTATTGGGTTATAGAAGAGCATACAATAACATCAATAAAAATTACTATTGTTTCAGTGAAATCTATAAAAGATATCTAAAATCTAGTGTTACTATTACAATATATTAAAATAGTAAATCTATATATAAACAGTCTTAATATTGAGACTATAAACTATGTGATGAAAACAATATATAATATAAAATATAATCATATAATGGAAAATTTAACAATTTGTTAGTTCACGGTAGCTGTCTGGAACAAGGCATATCCTAGATAATTTTATGGTCAGTAATGGAATGTAGCAAGCTGGATTTCAAGAAGGCAAGGGGTGTATTCCAGAGAAAAAAGAGACAATTCAGTCCAGATATTTTGTGTGAGAGAAAGAGGGTGAAGACTACTCCTCCCTAATATTTCTCAGAGTATACAACAGTAATGCAGACAGTAGTGTTTAGTCTGGTAAGATTCTGTCTATAGTTGTGGAAACAATAAAGAACTCAGCTTGGAAGAAATATATACAGTACACATTTCTGCAAAAAGATACATGGTCTCAGGCAGTGGTGGGTTCCAGCAGAGATTACTGCTGGTTTGCTCAGGGGTGTGCTGTTCGTGTGCATATGCATAACAACTAAAATTGCACTGTGCATGTGCAGAAACAAAAAACAAGATGGCACCTATGGTTCTGCCAAGAAAACTGATTTGGGGGTGTGGCAGGCTTGGGTCATTGCTGGTTCCAGCGGCCCAGGTTGCCAAGCAACTACCAGTTTGGCCGAACCAGGCCGAATTGGTAGAAACCCACCACATTGGTCTCAGGGTATCTGTAAAACAAGCTGCTCATTGAAGTTTGTTTTTTTGTGCCTCCCTACTTGGCCAGCTTGGGCAAAGTAGTCCTGGCATCTCCATAGTGAAGGCTGGGGTACACACCTTTCTATGAACAAAACTGCTGACATAATTGGGGGATCATGAAATCGTGGCAATATTTAAATGCTTCACTATTCTTTGCTAGAAAAGTGAACATGAATTGTACACATATACATACCTGTAAAGGTATATGTTTTGTACATATAGTAGGTTTTTTTCCAATCACATTACCAAGCAAACACCAGTTTGACCACTGCCAAAATAGGTGTGATTAGTGGCTTTTACTGGAACAAGGACTTCTGAGTTGAAGTGACTGAGTTTGAAAGAGAAAGAGAAAATTGAAAGGAAAACAAAGCAAAAACTGTTGTTTGCAATTAGTGTAAGATGCATTACATACACACACACACACACTATACATACATACATACATACATACATACATACATACATACATACATATATATATATATATATATACACACACACACACACACACACACACACACACACACACACACACACATATATATCTGTATATTGTACAAAGGCTTGGAAAGATGATGTAAACTGCCATCTACTTCATATGATGCATATCTGTTCTG